AATAAAATAGTTATTTTAATCATAAAACACATAATTTATTTTTGTACCGTAGTTTGTAAATAAAAAAACATATATATATATATATATCTATATAAAATATATTTGTAAGTATATATTTGTAAGTATATTCTCTAAAAATATTGTTCTCTAAAGATATTAAAATTATTGGGAATACTAATTAGTTCGGTCCGTTTTTTTGTGCATTTCTTTCAAAACAAAATGAATGAACAGATCAATTAAAGTATTGTCCATCGCTGTCTACTACTTTTTCCCATCTCTCAATTTTCGAATTCCATCTCGAAAAAATGACTCGTCTTTGGAGGCGATTCAATTTTGGAGCCAATTTTCTATTTCTGCGAAAGAAGTGAACCGGTGACTTGCTGCATCCTTCGGAACGACCAATAATCAGAAGGAGCAATGTCCGGAGAATATGGCGAGTGCGGTAAAACATCCTATTTGAGCGTTTCCAAATATTTTTACGACTTTTTTTACTTATTTTTCTCGATGATACATGAGGTCGAGCGTTGTCATGAAAAAGAATAACTTTATCATGTCTTTGTTCATATTCCGGCCGTTTTTCTCGTAATGCATGGCTCAAACGAATCAATTGTAGCCGATACCGATCGCCCGTATTGGAATCGCCAGGTTTCAGCAGCTCATAGTAAACAAGACCTTTTGGTCCCACCAGATACAAAAAGCATGATCTTCGAACCATGAATGTTCGGCCGTGATGTTAATGTTGAGGTCGATGGATTGACCGAGCTTACCGTATTTTTTCTTCTTGTCGTAGAATATCCACTTCTCATCTCCAGTCACAATCCGATGAATGAAAAAACCTTTTCTCTATTGTCTTTGAATCAGCTGTTCGCAAGTGAAAAATCGCCTTTCAATGTCTCTCGGTTTCAGTTCATAAGGCACCCAATTTCGTTGTTTTTAAATCATTCCCATGACTCTCAATCGTACAGAAACGGCTTGTTGAGTTATCCCTAACGATTCTGCAAGCTCCTCTTGCGTTTGACTCTGATCTTCTTCGAGTAATGCCTCTAATTCTTTGTCTTCGAATTTTTTTGACTGTCCAGAACGAAGCTTGTCTTCAACGCTGAAATTTCCATCCTTGAAATGTCGAAACCATTCCCTACATGATTTATCAGTTGGAGCAGTGTCACCATAAACTTCGACAAGCATTCCAGCTTCAGCCGCACTTTTCTTCCAATTAAAGCAGAAAATCAAAATCTCCCGCAAATGCTGCTTGGTTAACAAAATTCGACATTTCAAATACAGTAAAAATAAATATTTTTGTATGAAACTCAAAGCAATATAAACTGAATATTATTAGCAGATGTTTAACCTCTCTGAAACCGCCAAAATCAGCTGTCACCATGAACCATTCACAATAGCTGGAGCTATCTTTAGGGAAACGGACCGACTAATTTATACTCTCAATAGTTGTTATCTAACCTCATCTCATTTTGATCAATCTATCTCATAGCCATTTCTAATAAAAGAGATTATATTCATAAACTTGTCAGAATAATAATTAATTAATTGTAGCAAAGATCTTCTAAGACATGTCATTTTCTATGAATACAGGGATATTGCGATTATAATAAAACTTGTCAGACAACAAAATAGGTGATAAGAAAAATTTACTGATCAAGTTCATTTTCTTAAAAATCGCTGTAAATAGATATATACAGTGCTTATAGAGTAAACCATTTTATACAACAAATTAATATCATATCAGCTATCTATAATCAAAAAAAGAGATTTTTCTACCATATCCTCTTTGAATTATAAGCATTTTGACAATCAACTTTGTACGACAACCAGTCTTAGTCTTCCCTATAACACAGCTTGAACATTTTATATTACAGATTAATATTTGAGAAATTAAACTAGCTCCAATAATTTTAAATAATTTTAAAGTATTCATTTATGCGAACGTCCTAAATAATGCCGCGTCTTGAAACGCTTTCTAATTACCATCTCGTTTTATCACGGAATATTCAACAGCAATTAACAGTGTATATACTATACTGACGCTTCATAATGTATAGACAGAATATATGTTAAGTTCTATCTATTAGTGCCTTTTTCATCCATGATATTTATTATCTTAAATTTATTTAATTTAAATTTATTTAAGAGACTATTTATTATCTTAAATCATCGTGATCACAATAAAATAATCGTCATACAGATAATAAATACATGAATTTCACGATACTAAGTTTTACTTTAGAAAAATATTTTACAAGATGGTTTTTAAGATGATATATTTTAACCCGTTCAAATTAACTTATTTTAACTTATTTTAACTAATAGTATTTATACACTTATAAATATCTAATCATTATTTTAACAGAACCAGTCTAAAATAAATTTTATTTTTTTATATTTTTTGTTGTCAAATTCAAAGAAGAGAACGAGATATTGCATTAGAAATATAATATAAAATATAATATTTAAATACTATTGCATAAAAGTATTTAAAAAATAATTTATAATAGTTACTATTATAATTCATAACAATTACATAGCGCATATTACAATTCTAACAATAAAATAAGTACGCCTATTCAAAATTAATATTTATTAATTAATATTTTTTAATAAATATAATATCATTTTGCACATTGATGTGTAGAGTATTGTATATTCATTTCAATGCACTTTAATATTTAATAAATCAGACGATCGAATTTTCGTATTATATCTTTAATTTAAAATTTTGTAAAGTTTTAGTTATTGCAAATAGAATGGCATTTTATAAAAACCGAAAACGACACAGCTCGCGAACATAATTAGGATAATATTGTGCAGAATATTCTGAATAATCATTGATCCTGTCTTATCTTCTTCAACCTTTTTCGATATGACAAAAAATAACGGAAAATTTTCAGGACATGTCACTTGTATCAGATTATCTAAGGCTCACAAATCCTTCATTTTAGCTCTATAATCAGTCGAAATTCCTTTGGAAAAGTGTTTGATAAATAGATTCGTATGCTTACATCCCAAGCTATTTTGTCAATCTCTCAACGAGAGGATTTACTACAATGTATCTTGATAAGGAATTCTTTCAAATCTCTGACCATTGGATCGGTAAAATTTCATTTATATGCGACTCATTCATATCTGTTTTGCTTTTCATAATGATAAGCTTAACTTAGATTTCCTAATACGCGCATTCAATTAACTTTATCCAATTAATCTTTAAATAACAATTTTGAATAATTTGATTAAATTGCAGCTTCCTAATCGAATAATAGAAACAACACATTTTTTGTACAACGATGAAGAATTATGACCAATGGACATATAACAAGTATTTGTTTTTTGTTGAATTTTGTTTAAAGATTAAGTAAGATTATTTTCACACGATATGGAT